AGAACGTCATCGTGAAATGTATCAAACGTTTTCCTTTACTCTCCGTTTAAGAAGTTACCTGAATCTGTGGGTGTTCCGCCAAAAGCATTATAGTGAAACAAATGGATATAGCCGTCGTATCGTGTCCCTGTTAGAAATTGCAAAACATAAGATACGGAGTCTATTTTGATAAAGATAGTTTTATTTCCAAGACAAAGACGCACCCTAAACATAAACGTATCGACTTCTTCTCTAATACCTTCTTCGTCTATTAGATTGTGTCGATGTGCCGATAAAAGTAAATCGAGCATGGCAAGCCTCTTTCTGCGAACTATCAACAAATAAACATTTATGTCATAAGTACCATTAATTAAATACGATTAATCGTTTATATAACGTACGGTTGCATGTCATATCATCAGTGTCTTCATTCGCTTTGTCACTGAAATCAGCTAGATAGCGACCGTTGGTCTTATCGTGGTACTCCTTACGTTCTCTAATGATCTGTAACATATCACAGTTTGAAACACTGATACTCTAAGTATTCGAAATATAAATTATGCCGCTACCTGTTTCGTAAAGCCATGTAATATTTTAATCAGTTTAGATTGTAGCATTCCTACAGGAGTGAGGAAGAAGACAAAATCGAAGTCCAACCATGGTCTTAGTGATCTATAAAAGTGATATCCGAATATCATTTGTGTAGTATATGATACATACGAGAGCGCATTCAAATTCTTTACCTATACAGCAAAGTGTCTCCCATATCGTGCACGTCTTTGCGATATTTGAATTGAAATTGTCCTTTATCAATAAGAGACGTTCCCATTGCAGTTTCTAAAGGCAGAATCAAACATTGTTACTACATTCTTCCAATATTTTCTCTCAGTCGAAAAATTCAATTGACCAACAATTACGAATTCGATTTAATTGTGATTTACCACAAATGATATTTAAAGTGTGCTCGCTGATCAACATCTTCAGATCTTTAATAACAGGCGTTCCTTCGCCCTTTAGCTTCCCGATCAACCGTTCCCCTTCCGCGATGAAAACGTCGGAAAATTCCCGAAGCATATTGAAATGAAAAGCAGGTGTTAGTATCTTCCTGCGTGTCTGCCACTTGCGACCTGTAAGTAAATCGAAAGATAGCCGTATCTCTTTTATTGCATTTTTATTCAGCATATCACATATTTATTTGTTTTCACTTAACAAAAAAACGAGATATACTTCACGCTACATAATTAATGAAAAGTTCATTGTCTACAGTCTAGTCTTCGTAGCTAGACAAAGTATAATATATCGGAATATTTTAATAGTTGTGAAGACAAAACAAATTCGCAATTATTTCATGATTTTTATACTGCGTATGAAAAATTAAAAGTAGCCGCTGCGAATTGTTGTTTCACTTAAACGTTTGTGATTTTGCATATTTTTAAATATTTCCTAAAGGGAATTACCTGCACTGATAAGAAGTCCTGTGCTGAACCATGGTAACATTATGTTATACATATTACTCTTCTGAGTGAATTTAGATTGTCCTATGACTGTCTGCGTGATGAAAACAATGAAATGATTAATGGAATTCAGTTTGCAATTAGCTATTGAGAGATTAATGATATTACTGATACATCTGTCAACAATACCAGTACAATATTTTTATGTAATTTAATTTTTTCTACCTCGATGTCGTCCGGATGGCGGATAGATATATAAGGTTCCCAAACTTTCCAGAGCCTTACTA